TTAGTTGACAAACATTATCCAGGTCTGTTTCTTCCATACCACTTCCTACCCTTTATCCCAACAGGGACTGATTGCCAACACAGCTTCCAGACTGCAGGGTTCTGGAGAAAGAACTACTGGCTTCCAAAGTAGGGGTTCAGGTCTAGCTTCATGGTTAAGAGCATGAACTCTGAAGAAGGAGTGCCAGGTTCAACTTGAGGATCCACTTATTACTAGTAGGGGGACTGTGCCTACTAGTTACTAAAGCTCCCTGTGCCTCAGTTTCCTCATCCTTAAAATGGGGTCAGTAAAAATGAATTAAATAAGCTACTGTCTGCAAAGCACTTAAAACAGTCAGTGAACAAAGTAAGTATTATTATTATTTTTTCCTTTCTCTCTCCACCTGGGCTCTCTCACTTACCCTGAGGATAACACACCAGGTACTTGAATGTTGGCTTTGACGGTAATAAGGAGGCTATTGATCTGTTTGATGTATATTGCTCTCATATATACCAAAAACCTAGTAAAGAAGTGATCTTCAAACCCAAAGCAATAGCCTTCCATAAAGAAACATTATGAGGGAACAGGCAAAAGTTGAAGAGTGATGCAAAAAATTACCTCCCAGGACTGCCAACTACAGAAAGAGTAAAGGGCAAACCACAATTATCTCCCCAGGCTCTGTGCTCACCGATTCCTCTACAAAGGGCGGTCGTAACCGTGCCTGTGTGACCCTGGAGTCTGAGATGGTATCCGGAGACTCCTCCAAGGCCAGGACACTGTTCTTCCAACACGAGGGGCTATTTTATAAGCCATATCTGTTTGATTCTCTCTTATCACAAGGAGAGTACACGGCAGCCTTTGAGATGAAAGCAAATCTTCATTTTTCACTGCTGCTAAAGAACTTCACAGAAAAGACATGCAAGGTATGAGATGCTATGAGATGATCCGGCAAGGCCCTTGGAAAAGACGGTGAAGTGGTCCTTTTTCTAGAAAGGCATAAACCAGCTAAAGAAGTTGATGTTCTTAATTTATCAGCTTTATTTCTATCAGGATTATGTTCATCTCACATGTAAAAAATTGTTTTGAGCATGTATTATGTTTAGAGCCCTATATTAGGTACTGAGGATAAAACAATGCATGAGAAACAATCCCTTCCTCGATGACCAAAAACTCTGGTGTGGAAGACAGTAAACTGTTGATGACAAGTCAGTATGAGACAAGGAATGGTCTATATCTCATTAAGGAACCAGTGAATAGCTACGAGAAAGTACAATGCAGGAAGGCCAATTGAAGAAATATTTATTGTGAGGCCATTTTATGAAATTGACTATGCCGGGAAAAACCAGGAGTGACAGGTAGGACCACTTTGATTCTCATGGATGAGTTTCAAATTCAATTATAATAGTAATAATATTACTAAATGTTTAAGACATTTATTTAGTGTTTGAAAGTGAAAGTGTTAGTCGCTCTCTCGTGTCTGACTCTTTGCGACCCCATGGACTCTAGCCCACCAGGCTCCTCTGTCCATGCGATTTCCCAGGCAAGAATACTGTAGTGGGTTGCCGTTACCTTCTCCAGGGGATCTTTCAGACCCAGGGATCAAACCCAGGTCTCCAGAATTGGAGGCAGATTCTTTACTGTCTAAGGCAGCAGGGAGGACTTAAGTGTTTACCATGTGCCAAACATAATTCTGAGAAGCACTTCAGATCTTTTAGCCCCTTTAATGCTCATGAGATACTGAGGTAAATACTATTATCCCATGCTTTATGGCCAAAAAAATAAAGGCTCAGAGAGGTTAAGAAACTTGCCCTATGTTACACATCAAGTAAACACTGAAACAAGGATTGAAACTCTTAACAGTCTAGACATGGAGTCATTTTTTTAATACGCTCGCTATTTTGTCAGACCAGAAGGCCTTCTTCAGACAGGCTTGCCCATTAGCCAAATAGCTCTTACTATACCTCAGCTACCCACTGCCCACAATATGCCAAAATCTGAGTTGCTTTATGCCCAGAGCAATGTTTATCTTCAGTAAGGCTCAAAAGCCCAGCCAGTCACTGCCAAATGAGGCGGAAGACACGAGGCCCTACCTAACAAAGAAGACCCTCAGGTGTATTGTTCTGAAGGCAAGAGAAGGGATGGGGGTGGGCAAAAAAGGAGGAAAGGGCAGCTGAGGAGAAACCGACTCCTGGAAAGTCTCTAAGCTACTCAAATGAGCTCAGAGAAGGATCCAGAAAAGAGTAAAAAATCAACTGGAGAAGACCACAAAGTAATACAGCCCATGAGTAAGGGAGACACGCAAAGACAAGGGCTGGACACGAAGCCAAGCTGCCCTCCTCAACGGAAACCACCTCACTCACGTTTGTTTCTTCTGCGGAGCCCTCAGCCTCTCATCACCCTGTTAGCTGAGGTGGAGGATGTGAGGATGATGGGCTCTTTTCTGGACACTGAACTTCAAGTGCCTGGGGGGCACTCCAGCAGAGATGCCCCAGGCAGTGGGATGTGTAAGTCTGAGGCTGAAGAATGAGGACTAGCCTCACCCCAAACTTCCTGGGTCCTCAGTCCCAGCTCTGGCCAAGACACCACAGTACCTTCCTCGGCTTTGGACATACTCCTTCAAGAGGAACAATGAGTCTGGCTGCAGTTTGGGTGGCTACTTTCAAAGATTTTAAAGTGAAGTTCACTCAAAGATCTTGGCTGATTTTGACAAGGATGTACCTGGGTGCTGACACACCCCCACCCACCCCCAAATGTAGTGAGAATTACAGCTGGGAGAGTGGGTGATGGGCCACGAATCTAACTCCTCTCCACACAGCCTCTCCACCAGCCCCAGAATGGGCGGCCAGTGGGCCCTGCTTCCCCCTGCTCTCAACCGAGTGAGCAACACAAACAATATTTATATCTCCTGTTCTCCACAGCAGGCCAGACAGAAAAGATGTCAGAAACCTGGCAGGTCATTTCCCAACTTTATTAATTCCTGATAGACTGTGTATTCCATGGATACCCAAAAGCTGGCCAGGTGATATAACATCAATACCTGCAAAGGCCATTTGTTACAGTTTGCTTTTCAAAATACCATTCAGTTCTTATATTTCCACATAATACTCAAATTTTTTAAAATTGAGAATTAAAAAGTAAATATCATGGTCCATCATATCCTCAAGGGAGCAGCTAACGAAGGTTCTCTCTTTAGGTTCCTTTAGAGAACTTGAGGAAGGCCAGATTTTGCATTTACAATCTAGACAAGATAGGAAAAATAAAACTGTAGATACAACATCCTAATTTGGGTTATGCCAGGGATTTAGAATGGTGACAGGGGTTTAGTGATTTTTTAAAAAAATCTATGTGAACTCCAAGAAACTAAACAAGAACTGAGCTTGCTTACCAGTCAAGAGCACAACTGTTTACACGGCATGGGTGTGTGTCCAGTCGCTCAGTCATGTCCAACTCTTTTGCGACCCCATAGACCACAGCCCTCGAGGCTCTTCAGTCCCCGGGATTCTCCAGGCAAGAATACTGAAGTGGGTTGCCATTTCCTCCTCCAGCGGATCTTCCTGACCCAGGGATAGAACCCGCATCTTCTGCATTGGCAGGTGGATTCTTTACCACTGAGCCACCTGGGAAGCCACTTGTACATAAGCCGAAGGCAAAACTCTCATTCTTAAATAAATACATGTAACACTAAAACAGAAACAAAGTGCAAAAAAAAGTCTCCCCAGTTAATTGAACAGAAGCCATCTAAACTAGGGCTTCCAAGGTGGTGCTCGTGGTAAAGAACCCATCGCCAATGCAGGAGACATAAGAGATATGGGTTTCATCCCTGGGTCAGGAAGATCCCCTGGAGGAGGGCAGGGCAACTCGCTCCAGTATTCTTGCCTGGAGAACCCCATGGACGGGGAGCCTGGAGGGCTGCAGCCCATGGGGTCACAGAGAGTAGGACACGACTGAAGTAACTCAGCATGCACTCATGCATCCAGATTAAAAGGTTATGCAAGGTAGTTGAAGAATCATTAGTAATAAATGATTACTGTATAAATGTATACATGTATAAAGCCTGTATAAATGAGGTTATCATCAAGAAAAATGCTGAGAGAAACAGAGAGATGGTTTGTCGTGTCTCACAGAAGAGGAAGTTCACATGTGAGTACATAAGTACGTATCCAAGTGCACGTGTGTATGCATAAAAAACAAGAGAAAAAGAAGCTTGGGGCCTACACCATGAGGTCCTAAGCAACCTTTTCACACTGTTCCTCCCATGATCATCATGAGATCCTTTGATCTCCTCGAGGGTCAGCCCACACTCCTCTGTCTGTCCCTCTGTCCACACCATAATCCTGACTGAGAGTCCTCCCACTGCAACTCTCTTTCTGCAACGCAGTGTCCTTCAAGGTCTAGCTCACGTTCCATGACGTCTCACTATCCTTTTCTGATGAGTCCAGCCCAAAGCGTCCTCTCCTTCCTCTATCTTCCTACAATCAGTGTCACTCACTCATTAAAGAAAAATCCCAACAACATAAAGTCAAACAAAATTCCCTTCCAGGTGTTTCAGTGGAGCATCTCCTTTCTCTCATCACTGGGTGTTGTCCTGAGTCTTTGGGAGTGTCTGACCCCCTCAGCCTAAGGAGAAGTTTTTTAAGGCAGGGACTGTGTCTTCATACATCTTTTAAGCCTTCACAGTACAAGACTGTGGCGAATGTGTGGTCTGATAAACATCTACTGATGTGAATAAGTGGTATCATGCAATGCCAAAGGAAAGGACTGCATTAATTATGGGAATATCCTGATTCTAACAAACAAGATTAGGAAAGAGAATTAACCACAGTTATCCTTTCACTCCGTAGCTCCTAGGACAATAAGACTGGAGACTTCAGATAAGGTAAGTGTGAAAATAAGTGGAAGAAGAGGATTAAGTAGGCAAAGACAGACATGGACAGTGGAGAGGCAGACTTTCATGAGGTAGATGCAAGAGGGGCAAAGCAAAATCAACCACTGTTCACTAGCAGTCAGCTGTGAAGACATACCTGTATTTCCTTGAGTATCTTCTACCTTGTTTGAAGAGGCCAACAGAAAAGAAGCCCTGGCGAAGTGAGGGCCCTGAAGAGAAACTTCCTGCTGCAGAGGCATGGCTTTGAGGACCACCCTCCAGTCCACCTGGGTAATATCTGACCTTGATCGAGCATGCCCAGGCTTAAAAGTCGAGGTCTCATCCAATAAGTCATTCACAGAACGAGGCCTGTCTCTTCGACGCTGACAGATGTTGAAAAAATTAAAGGTGGATGCTTCCTTTTGTTCCATCCAGGACAGATTATCTGGGGTTGTCCCCTTCTGGACCATAAACTGTTCTTTGGCAGGGAAGACATTTGGAACTTTGGTGTCTAAGAGTCTGGTCTTACAATGGTCCCAGATCACACCCCCCTGGCCCAGGGAGGTGACATTTCTGATAGCACCATTGTCTATGTTACCGAGGACCTCCCGCCCCACCAATTCAGGGACTTCTTGGATCCCATAAACCTCTGCTTGCTGCACAGCCTTTTCAAGCTTATTGTCAAAAGTATTAAAGAAATCTTCGGTCACTTCCAAGGCTGGGCTAATATCATCCACTTCCAAAGCTTCCATGTCATACGCTCCAAGGGGCCAAAGCCTCCTACACTGGTTCAGGAAAGGGCTTCATGAACATTCACCCAACAAGGAGAAGTGTTTTGGGCAAGAGAGTTCTGGAAGCAACTGGAAGGAACTTTCATTCAGCTGCCCGGAGCAGGTCAAGCACAAGGGTGGCTGATTTCCCGAACATGAAAAACATTTTCTAGATGATAACAGTCATCAACAAAGGTACTGGGAGACAAATGTTCCTTTGAGAATACTCTTCGGGGATACCACTGTCAAGACAACAGGAAGTATTTGTCAAAGCAACATCACGACCATCTTTGATTTCCTGAAAGAAAATAAACAGAACAACATTGGCACATGGTTCATTGTATTCTACACATACGAATCTGCCCAGTTACATCCTCATCTTGACCTCTTTTCCATGGCAGTCATGTCCAAACGTGGACAACACCCAGAAGTTCTACTGTTAAGAGTACACATCTCTACTTTGTGTTAAAACTTACACAGAGCAGCGTGGGACTCCTGATGAGTAGAATTAAAGTCAAGAGCTTTTACTCACACAGAGAGGCCTTTTATAACATGTGTGAAAAGACTGCCCTGGCAAATCTCTGTTGATACTGAACTAAAACAGTAAGCAACAGAGACTAGGAATTCTGTGACTGGACCTATATCATAATCAGTCTGAAAGTCATAATTGCATGAGTCTTTTCACAAACTTTGAAAGCACTGATGGTTTGTTCAGCTCAAAGGTACAAAAGGGAAGCAGAGAGGAAGAATGGCTCTTCTTCCTCTGAATGTCACTGTGCTATGCTTCCTAGGTTTGGATGATGTAATGCCTGAAGATGACTCTGGACAATTTTTCCAGTCAGCCTGCAAAAAGGTTTCAGTGTTCAAACTCCCTGAGGCTTTGAGGATTGCCTATCTGTAGGTTCGGGAGATTCCCTGGTGGCTCAGATGGTGAAGTGTCTGCCCACAGTGCAGGAGACCTGGATTCAATCCCTGGGTCGGGAAGATCCCCTGGAGAAGGAAATGGCAACCCACTCCAGTACTCACGCCTGGAAAATTCCATGGATGGAGAAGCCTGGTGGGCTACAGTCCATGCGGTCGCAAAGAGTCGGACCCGACTGAGCGACTTTACTTTCACTATGTGTAGGTTCAGGCTTGGGGCTGGGTGGAAAGAATCCTAACACTACCTCACTCTCTGAGATACCTAGATCCCCAAGGCCAGGCCAAATGGGAACAGTAATGCTGTCCAATATGGAAGACACTAGCCATACTTGGCTATTTAAATTTAACTTTATTAAAAATCAAATAAAGTTCTTCAGTCACACTAGCCACATTTTGCATGCTCAACATTCACCTTTCTATCTTCACCAAAAAACGAACAGACAAACAAAACAACTAGGTAAACTCCGTTTTCCTTAACTACGTACAAGTAAATAAAACCAGGCAATTAGAAATACCTTTGCAAGCGGCTATAAAGGTACATAAATGTGCTATTTTCTTTAAAACTGCACAATTTCTGTGGTACATTAAAATCATTTTTAGCACTTAGGCCATGAAGTCATTGTATTTAAATCAACAGCACTAATCTATATTGCTTAATGTGTTAAGCTAGTATATATAGCCTTTTATTTCAAATGTATCAAGGTGTGCAGGTTATAGGAACTTGGTGGCTAACCTCTTGTAAACTGATAACGACTGTGAATCTATCTACTTTTTAGATTTTGATGTTTATTATGTTGGCAAGGAACTGACTAAAAATCAGTTATAACATTTTCCAAGTTGCAAACAGAGTTTTGTTTGCTGTGTCTGTGCTAAGCCTGAGTCTCCTGAATTTTACAGCAGTTTTACTACTTCTGTAATTTTGGAACTTGCAATTTTCAGTTTCATCTTGTACCCCAGAGGCTAAGAAAAAAATATAAAATAAATCTTAAAAATTTTACTTCTTTATTGACTAAAATTCTAAATGAACATCATAAAGTATGTTTCCCACTTTACAGAAGAGACACTAAGGTGCAGAGCACAAAGCTATTCACCTAAGATTCTATTTTGAATATTCCTTTCCTTACCCAGTGCTGAAAATTCAGCCTTTATATATGATAGAAAGCATAAATACCTTCAAATTGACTTTTTTAAAAAAAATCAAAATGTCTAGGAATATATTCATTGTGTTCCCTGCTTTGGCATTTGCAAGCTGGTTCAGTTCAGTTCAGTTCAGTCGCTCAGTCATGTCTGATTCTTTGCAACCCCATGGACCACAGCACACCAGGCCTCCCTGTCCATCACCAACTCCTGGAGTTTACCCAAACTTATGTCCATTGAGTTGGTGATGCCATCCAATCATCTCATCCTCTGTCATCCCCTTCTCCTCCTGCCTTCGATCTTTCCCAGCATCAGGGTCTTTTCCAAAGAGTCAGCTCTTCGCATCAGGTGGCCAAAGTATTGGAGTTTCAGCTTCAACATCAGTCCTTCCAATGAACACCCAGGACAGATCTCCTTTAGGATGGACTGGCTGGATCTCCTTGCAGTTCAAGGGACTCTCAAGAGTCTTCTCCAACACCACAGTTCAAAAAGCATCAATTCTTCAGTGCTCAGCTTTCTTCACAGTCCAACTCTCACATTCATACATGACCACTGGAAAAACCATAGCCTTGACTAGATGGACCTTTGTTTGCAAAGTAATATCTCCACTTTTTTAATATGCTGTCTAGGTTGGCCATAACTTTCCTTCCAAGGAGTAAGCGTCTTTTAATTTCATGGCTGCAGTCACCATCTGCAGTGATTTTGAAGCCCCCAAAAATAAAGTCTGACACTGTTTCCACTGTTTCCCCATCTATTTGCCATGAAGTGATGGGACCAGATGGCATGATCTTAGTTTTCTGAATGCTGAGCTTTAAGCAAACTTTTTCACGTTCCTCTTTCACTTTCAGCAAGAGGCTCTTTAGTTCTTCTCCACTTTCTGCCATAAGGGTGGTGTCATCTGCATATCTGAAGTTATTGATATTTCTCTCAGAAATCTTGATTCCAGCTTGTGCTTAATCCAGCCCAGCGTTTCTCCTGATGTACTCTGCATATAAGTTAAATAAGCAGGGTGACAATATACAGCCTTTACACACTCCTTTTCCTATTTGGAACCAGTCTGTTGTTGCATGTCCAGTTCTAACTGTTGCTTCCTGATCTGCATACAGGTTTCTCAAGAGGCAGGTCAGGTGGTCTGGTATTCCCATCTCTTTCAGAATTTTCCACAGTTTATTGTGATCCACATAGTCAAAGGCTTTGGCATAGTCAATAAAGCAGAAACAGATGCTTTTCTGGAACATATAACCACTGCTGGCCAGCTCTGCTGGTTTGTGGAACACTTCATGCCAATGCATTCTAAATTTGTAAACTCGTAGCCAAGGTAGGGGCCTCTGAGATCATCCTTGCAACCCCAATTGTCCACAGAAAGGGACAATGAGGCCCAGAGAGACTAAAAGGTCCCAAGGATACTTCGAATGCAATGCCTCATTTAACCCTCATTAAGGGCAGTAACAACTCAACTTGAGAACCACCTCAGTGCTGTTTACCCAGGGATTCTAGAAGCCACTCATCTACCCATCTAGTCATGATTCATTAAGGTCACGACAGACAAAAGATGCTGACAATGGAAAGATGAATCAAATACACTCTGGCCCTAAAGAGACTCATGGTCTATCACGATGAGCCTAAGAAAATAAGTCCAAAACACTTCCTTGATAGAGAATGGAAACAGATTTGGTGGGGGAAGGAGGGAGGGGGTCACCTGACAGCAAGGGTGAGGGAGAGATTAAGGATGTGCCCTTTCAGTTGAGCCTAGAAAACTTAGATGGTATTTGCAAGGATAGTTCGGAAGAAATTATGAAGAGCAAATCACCTTTTGGTTAGCAAGGGATTTTCAAGTTCATTATATAAAATGACTTTTCATAGGCAATGGGGTGAGCAATACAGTGGAGTATAGCAAGCAAGCTAGCAGACCCAGAGTCAGATCTAGCTCCGAATCCTATCTCACTCTAGCTATGTAATTTGGGGTAAGATTTCCCTGACCCACCCCTACTCCAACCCAAGTCCTCTGGACTAATCTGTTCTTCCTATTCTAGGAATTTCATTTTTGGTGCTTTCCACTGCTTCTGTCTGGAACCTACACAGCTATTTTCTTTGTTTTCTGATGTAAACATGCATTAATCGTACTCTTCACTGTGTACCCCGGAATTTCCAGGCCATACTTCCTCTCCTCATTCCTCCACTTAAGTCACACAAGCCTTTTAGTTGCTCCTCCAAGGTTTACTTTTTGGATCTCCAGGCCTGTACTGGGGCTGATCCCATTGCCAGAGGAGTTATGCCCTCCTGGACTTTTCTGCCCATCACATCAATGCCTAATCATCTTTGGGGGTCCAACCTAACAGCAAGTGACATACCTGCACTCTCTAAAGAGGGCCACAACAGTTCCTATCCCATGTGCTTTTCTGCAATGAGAACTTGCTACTTCCCCATCAGAAAGTGTCTACTTCTCCTCTCCCGAGAACGTAGGCAAGGCTTGTGATGTTTTGATCACTAGTGTGTGGCAGAAGTGGTACTGAGCCCATTGGAAGTGTAGCCCTGAATGGGCCTGGCAGCTTCCTCTTCCTATTTCTTGGAGCTTGAAGCTAATTAGACAGAAAGTCCAGGCTACTCCGCTGCAGGGAGAGGCCAAGTATTAGAGCACAGAGGCTCCAGACACATGAGGGAAGAAGCTGTCTTGAATGGCAGCCTAATTGAGCTCTCCGATGATTCTAGCCCCAGTCAGTATCATGATCCCAAGAGAGAATTTTCCAGCTGAGTCTAGTTATCTCAGACCCAAGAGAGAAAATAAATTCTTTTAAGACACTAAATTTCAGACTATTTTGCCACACTGCAAACAATCATTAGGACTCATCACTTCCTTAGGGAAGCATTCTTTGGTGTCCCAGACTAGGTTAAATGTCCTTGTTTAAGGATACAAGGGCCTTGGT